ATATCAACTCTAAAATAAAACCCAAATTAATTTGATTAGATCTCACAAATGCATTGTTGTAGTTTGCTAGATATATCAAATAGGAAAAGAAAGTAAGTTAGCCACTCATGGTGGACTTTTTAAGACAAAAGTTTTTTTTAAAGAGTATAGAGAAGAAAAAAGATGATGAAGAAAAATTGTAAAAGCAGTAGAAGCTACTGTGTGCGACGTCGGGAAGAAGAGATGGATGGATCTACTTTGTAACGGCCCCGGAAAATATTAAAATGAAATGAGTATTTAAATATATCAAATGCGGAAGCGAGATCAAAATTTCATTTAACATCCCTTACACGAAAAACCAAACAAACGTACTTAAAATATAAAAGGTTAAACTAACTAAGAAAGAAAACTCGAAAATAAACTATGCGTATGACTACAGAGTCTCTAGGCATCCCCTTCGTCGTCCTCCTGCGGAACGGGCTCGGGAACCATGTCTTCCTGATCTGAAATGGTTAATTAAGGAGTGAGCTACACTAGCCCAGTAAGAACATCACGATATCTCACCGTCACGGAGATAAAGGTGGGTAGAAAACCACAAAAAGACCAATGGAGCATAATTTACAATAAACTCGTTTATTAACAACAAAACCTTTTATCAATAATAAAACTTTTACCATCCACTTACCTTGGTGGAATTTATGAAAAACAATATGAGAAAAACAATAACATTATCATAATCATTGAATAATCTAAGCTGTAAAACATAACACTTATCACGCCTCTTGTAATTCAATCATTGTACAACATATCTTTTTTCTCATTTACCAGCCTACTAGTATCCGTGGGGGTCCATAGGGGTTCCGCTACCCGTTAACCTTTAACATTCATAATCAGTTTCCAGGGCCGTCCCCATCCCCCGTCCGGTATGGGCGCCAAAACCATGAACCTCAATACCCCGTCCGGTATGAGGGTGAAACGGGCCGTCCCCATACCCCGTCCGGTATGGGCGCCAAAACCATAAACCTCAATACCCCGTCCGGTATGAGGGTGAAACGGGCCGTCCCCATACCCCGTCCGGTATGGGCGCCAAAACCATAAGATCTCCATACCCCGTCCGGCATGTGAGACCACAATCCCGGTAGGGTTCCCTACGGACCCGGTCCGTCCACCATCTCCCAGGATATCTAGTCAGGCTGACCCCCATAATACAATTATCAGTTTACACAATCTTTCATTTTTCCTTTTCCTCAATCAGCATCATCAATTCACATTTAAACAAGCAAATCGTAATTCATACCAAACAGACAACATACAGTATCAGTTTTTCAGTCATTCAACCCATAATTAATAAAAACGTAGTGCATGCACACAAATCTGTAAAATGAACACATCAAACCTCATTTTGTATTTAAAGCTGTAAACAGGCCAAATAACAGTAAATCATCAATCACACTAGACTCGGGCTCCATCAGCAACCTTAAGCAATTTCACACATGCGTTAATTCAAGAAATACTGTTTTATCATTTTGAACTTTAATACCGTGATAGGAAATAGGGTGAGGGGTCCTTACTTGTTTTCGGGATCCGAATACGATTCACAGTGCGCCTGCAGGCTGTCCCTAATTTTCCCCTGAATTTTTCCCGGGGAACTGAAACACGCTAACAGTACCTGCACGGGTTCCAAAAAAAATCCAAATTAGGCCCAGGGCCTCTTTCGGCCCAAATCGCAACTCCGGCACGGCGGCTCCGCCGTGCTCCGGCGACGGCACCGCCGCTGGCGGCGGCGAGTCGCCTCGGGTTGACTGTTTTCGGCCGTTTTTGGCCGAATTCGGCCACACTCGCATTGGTCCTTGTCAGAAAACAACCCTAGGGCCCTCGGGGGGCCAGAAAATCACGGAAAAGCGGAGCTTACCGGCGGCGGCGCTCTCGGGTACGGCGACTCTCCGGCGAAGTTCGTGTTTTGGTGATTTGGCTTCGGTCAACCTGTAGAGAAAAGAATGGTGATCACGGTGATATAAAAATTGCATCGAACGGAGGCCGGGAAGGGCCTCGTCGGAGGCAAAAACCGAGAGGGGGCGCGGCGGCGCCGCTGGGCTTCGGCCGCGTATTCCGGCCGTTTGGCCGGGATTTCGGCTTCGATTTGGCCATAGGAGGAATCAGTGGGGAAAAACGAGTCGGGGTATGAAATTTACCTCGATCGGCGGTCGGAAATTTCCCCGGTGCGGCGGCGAGTGGCGGCGGGTGGCGGCGGTCGGCCTCTGGTTCGTCTTCTCCGGCGAGCGGCTGGCGGCTAGGGTTTTTGGTCTGGTGTGGGGGTTCTATTTATAACCCCTTGCCTTTTGATCACAGCCGTTCGTTTCGTTTTAATCTGGGCCGTTCGTTTTTGATTGAATCTGGGCCGTCCGTGCGTTTGAATCTGGGCCGTCCGATCGCGTGATTGATCTGGGCCGTCGGATCGCACCCACGCGGATCGCCAACGTGGCTCCCTTCGGAGTGACGCGATCTTGCCACGTGGCAGGCCCCGGTTGGCCGGGACTGCTGACCGGGCCTGCTGACGTGGCTGCTGACGTGGCCCCCCCCCCCCCTTTTTTTTTTTTTTTTTTTTTTTTTTCTCCTCCTTTCCGGGCGCTACATATATCATATGTAACGGTCCCAGAAATTCAAAATGAAATATATATAATAATCTGAGTGCGGAAGCAAAATAAAATATTAAACTTAACATCACGTACACAATAACTTAAAAGTACTAAACAATATCATAAAATAAGTTCTCTAAAAAAAATACGATAAATGAGAAAAATAAAGGAAACTATAAAGTATATAGCATTTACTCGCCGTCTGCTTGTGGATCGGGCTCGGGAATCAGGTATTCCTGATCTGAAATGGTCAAATAAGGAATAAATTACACTATCCCAATAAGGACATCACACTACATCACCGTCACAGAAGTAAAGGTTGATAGAAAATAAAAAATAACCAATTGAGCACAAATTTTAAACTAATATATTTATTTAAAATAAAACCATTTACCCTTTTTCTTACCCTTGGAGAATCTGTGAAAACAATTTATAAATACAATAACATCATACATATCATAATTTCATGTATAATCAGTAACATAAAATATATCATAAATCTGTATTCATTAACAATAACTAATTATCATTGTTTCTCATTTTCACCCGCCTACTAATATTCATGGGGATCCATAGGGGTGTCCCCGCTACACGTGAAACACTCTCCATAATAATCTTAATTCCAAGGTTGTCCCCATACCCCGTCCGGTATGAGTGTCAATACATTAAACCTCAATACTCGTCCGGTATGAGTGTGAAGCGAGTCGTCCCCATACCCCGTCCGGTATGAGCACCAATGACCAAGTCTCCATACCCCGTCCGGTATGAGACAACGTTCACGGTAAGATTTTCTATGAACCCGGTCCGTCCACTATCTCTCAGGATATCTAGTGAGGCTGTCACCTTATTTATTTTTCCTTAATCTCCGTTACCAAGTTGAATATAATCACATAAATAGTAAATATGCACCCGGTAATACAATTATATCGTAAATTCTAAAATCATATA